TTGATGGTAAGAGATGCAATATGAAAACTAAATTTATGTGTTCCAGTACTATCCTCCATATAAAGCCCATATATAGAGGCAAAGGTTTAACGAAATCTCCAGTCCTGTGATGGCCCTCAAAGGGCATATTAAGGATTAAATCCAAGACTAGGAGCAACTTTAGGTCCTCATTGTCTGTAAAATTAAATGCATGTGTAGATAGTAAATGCAGTATGTTTGACAATCTTTTTCTCTAAAGAAAAACCTAAAACAATTTTGAACCTGATATGTACTCAGCATGGTCCCCTCATTTTAAGTCATCAATTCTAACATGCTTGTGATGCACATGTAAAAGGAATACTACCCAGTATACAAGAGAATGCTTCCATCAAATACATGAGGTAGAGCAAAATGTTACCCGAAAAAGGTCAACTGCTAACCTGAAAACCATCGGGCAATAGTCCTTCCACTTAAAATCCTCAGATTGATGAGGTGGTGTCAGTTGAGATCCTTCTTTAGGAAAATTCATCCAGAAACTTGCTCGAGGACCAAAGTCTACTGCCCGGACTTCCCGCCTCTGTATAGGTGTAATTTTCCCCACAGTATATCTGACAATATTCTTATGCATATCAAACAAAATAACTAAAATATGTAACATGACAAGTGAAGAAAAATGTACATAAAGATAAATTATTCAAAAATAATTTATTACAATAGGAACTTTAAATTAAGGAAACAAATAATTGAGCAATAACTTAAGAAAATCCAAGAAAAAATTATTAACAGTAGTAATGTTTTCTTGATCAAAAAGCCCAGTTTAGATTCTCATATTGTTCTCATCCAGTTATTCAGCTTCACATCTCCTTGTAAATTTTTTTTAATTGCCCTGGGAACAGCGACTTATATGTCCAAACTTTTGAATTATGTAAAATGGGTAAATGCAAGAGGGCGTATATCACTCTATTATCAAATCGTGACTGCCAACAATTCAACAAATTGAGCAAAGGTAGATGCTGGAGTAAAAGTATCAATATCTCATATAAGATTATGGAGAATAATATACATGAAACATACCTGATCCCAAGCTGCAAACTAAGCATTAAATCGTAACTCCTGTGACCCTTAATGATTGCTTCACCAGGCCTTTTAACCTCTTTTGCTAGTTTCTTTTGTCGCCTTTTTGCTCGTCTCGATGAAGATGAAAAACTGTTATTTAGCACAAGCTCACTGATTAATACCCCTTGCATATATTCACGTTCCAAGATTGGTATATTCAACCCATTCCCCTTCTCGTTGTCTTCTAAGACTGATTCAGATAGCTCTAAAGAAGAATCATGTCCAATTACTTTCTCAATAGATA